CAAGACAAGCTAGAGTACGACAGACTTAAACATAGTCTTGAGCTTCTCCCGGATTACTAGCCAGTCAGGGTCACTCATGTCGCCGGCGATGATGAAGTCATCAACGTGCGCGCCGACACGTCCGATGATGCGTCCATCGACGGAACTCTTGAAGACCCAGATGCATCGGTCCACACTGTTGCGGTGACCGCCGATCTTGCCGATCTTGAAGTCGCTGTCCTGCCAGAACACCCGTGGGGCGTTCGTCAAGCCATAGAAGGCTCCAACCACCTCAATGGCCTGGCCAAGTTGCTGCAGACCAAGGGCCCTTGCAACTTCAGGGACACCTTTAGTGTACAACCGTTTGGCGCCGATGTCGGCATCCGCCTGGAGGAATGCACTTTTGGTGTCAGTGCATTTGCCCATCCAATGCTGCACCCTGCAGCAAGAGGTTTCGGCCCAGCCGGCTCATTGTTGGTGAGGCTGTCTGCAGTAGACGGGCACCGGTCCTCGGATCTCGCTTCTCAAGATCTGGGTGATTGTACCCAATGAGGATGACTCGAGCCTTTGCCTTTTGCAGTCCGCCTTTGCGGACGGCGCGTCAGAAGGTGACCCAGGCTCAGTCAACGGCTTCCACGTCAACAGCCATCGCATTGGGATGATGCGATCCTTCATGGTCTGCTCGTCAAAGTGCTCGCGAGCTGCACGGAGAGCTTGGCTCCTAAGAACCTCGGACACCTCTCGAGCCATGGCTTCTTCCATGTTTGCCCGCTCATCTTTGCTGAGCTTGCGGAAGTTTACCTCCTTAGATGCCTATAGGCCCAAGAAGCTTGTCCTTGGTGTACATGGCGCCGCCAGCCACGAAGGCGTTGAGGTCGTCCACGTCGAACTCAATGACCATGGCTTCCTCACCATTATCACACGCCATCATCATCTTCTCAACCAGCTTCTTCTCGGAGCGCTTTTGTGCTTCGGCCTCAGCCTGAAGCGCCTTCAAGGTCTCCTCGAATTCGATCTGCTGCTCTAGGACCAGGATTCGGTCCTTGATGATGTGGTACATGTCCTCGGTGAGGTAGAAGTTCGCGGCATCCTCAAAAGCCTTCTGCTTCTCCTGCACAGCATCGGTTGGTTCATCTTCCCTCTCGTCGTCGGTGGCGATGTTGTAGTGCTGTGGCGCTTGCACAGCAGCTAACATGTCCTGGTCTCCACCTAACTCCCTGGTTGACTCTGTCGCCAGGGTGCCACCTTGGCGCTGTCGGTCGTGGCCTTGACGGTCTCAGTGGTCTCCGCTGCAGGCTCCGGTTCAGCAGCAGGCTGAGTCTTGACTGCTACTGAGCTAGCTTGCGCCAACTGCACCTTTTCAGTGGACTCGGCCTTGACGGCCTCGGTGGTCTCCTCTGCAGGCTTTGGTTCCGAAGAGGGCTCAGTCTTGGCCATGACCAGCATGACCGTAGGAGCGTCTCCTCGGTAGCTTCCTTGAAAGCTCCAGCTTGGGTTGGTTTAGCAGAGCCTCTCCCGCCTACAGCAGGTGGTCCACTCCTTGACCGCTCTTCCTTCTTGGGCCTTCCAGGTTTCCGCCCAGGTCCAGCCGATGGTGAACGGCCACGTCCAGGTCCTTTGATGGGGCCGATGGCTCACTTCATTCCTCCATCTTCCGTTTTGGAGGCTGAGGCACGTACTCAAACATGGTGCGCCCCTTCCATCCAAACGTTAGCTCCCTGTCGGGAGCTTGGCCCTGGGACGTAGGTTCCCGGAAGTTGTCCACGAAGCTGCCTTTGGTGCCGTCGCGGCGTGCATCCACTGAGTCACCCGCTTTCCAGTCAGGCACCCAACCTGGATCGGCAGCGCATGTTCTCTGAAGGAACGAACAGCCTTGTCCGCTCGGAGTTGCGGTGTCTTATCAATACCCGCGACCTCCCAGGTGTCGGGCGTCGGCACACTCAGCGGCGGCAACTTCGTCAAAGGAGCCAGTCCGTCCCGGCGACGGTTTGCGTTCACATCCTGGAGCTGACGCCAGCGCTTCACCTGCCCCTGGACCGTGTGGTGTCGCTCACGGGATCGGCTCTTCTGCTCCTTAGAGTTCCCGGGCACGAAGTCGGTCAGCCCAAGTGTCGGCTGCCTCCTCTATGCCCCGCATCCACTCAGAAGGCGGTTGCGCTGAGGTCAAGGACCGTTCAACTTCCAGAGCTCCTCCAGGTAGAGGTTCGTCAGGCAAGTCGAGCCGCTCGTCCTCGTCCATGTGCTGGCTCTCGGCGGTCACGTCGGTCCACCTCGAGAGCATCCTAAGCTGCTTGTTCACTGGCCTCAAGACGGCCTGGCCCCGACTCAGAAGCTGTCACAACTTCCTGCTCTGCAGCGAAGCGCAGCGCCACAGAGATGCCCCGATCAGCACCCACAGGACGCTGGACCTCCCCTCAGGGAGTACGGCGGGCTCGATGAGCGCCACCCGTCCTGGGCCAATGAACCTTGGCTCCGGGTTGACTCGCCCTTTTCGAGACTTCTCCATGATCTCCTTGTTGACCTTGAGAGGGTCCAGCGCCAACTCGTCCCGCTCGTAGTGAGCTGGATCCACGCCGTACGCCCACTGTATGGGCGTGAAGCCTTTGACCTTCAGGGTGTGGTTGCCGGCCATAGCTGCAAGGTTTCCTACCACAGACGGCGGAAGATTCGGTTCTTGCGACCGGATCTTCTTCATCGTCTTCTTGGTAGCTTTCACAGCTACTTCCACACCACCAAGTTGCCAATGTGCTTCTCCCGGAGTCACTGACAAACCAATGCCAGTTGAGGACAGGAACTCCGGGAAGTCACCATAGGCCAGGCTGGTCTGAGCACAGCACCCACTCAGGGCGCGGTCTGTGCTGCAGCCAGGCGGAGGCGAAGACCTCCATGAACCGAACTCCAGGTTCGGTCCCAGCCTCGTTCATCTTTCCACTCCACAACACTTCCACAGCCTTGCAGCGCGTCGTGAGGTCGATCATGATGAGGTATCTGGCCTTGACCTTCAACTCGTAGAAGGGCACTCGAACAACATCGATGCCCACAAACTGCCACGGTTGTGGCTTTGTCCCCACAGAGATAGGAAGCACCAGCTGCTCGCCACGCTTGGCGTCAATGCAGGCCTGGCATGTGAGGTTCTGGGCCTCATCCACCACCCATTGTGGCATGCCCCGGTCCCTGCATATTCTGGCCAAACCCGGTTTGGAGGATGGCCTGCTGATTTGTGGAGGCGGCGCCGCAGCTTTTGTGCTTTCTCAATCATCTCCTTGGGAATGGGTGCTCCCTCAGGAGCATCGGCCTTGTTTTCCTCATGATGATCTGCCAGCTCTTGAGCCATGGCGTAGATCTCATAGAGCTTGCTTCCAGTCTGCTCGGTCTGCCACTGTCTTCCCCAGTGGTTCGCCACTAACCTGACAAACTTGCCAGGGTAGGTGGAGGGCTCCATGATCTCCTTGGTGGCCTCGGTCCAGAGGCGCTCTTCCACGTGGGCGCGCTTGCCGTGAATTGCTTGTGGAAGTCTGCATCCGTATGCAGTATCCACCACGTCTTCCTTAGAGGACGGCCATCATAGTCCTGAAGACTAAACATGCACCCATCGACCTCAGTCTCGAAGAGCTCCCTCTTGTAGCGCTTGGGCACATTCTTCTTGATCTCTTGCATCAGTCGGTGGCCTCCTTAGGCCACTCCAAGTAGAAGTGAGGAGTCACCTCATTCTCCATCAGAGTCTTCAGCAGCTGGATCAAACCTTGCAGCTGCTTCTTGGCTCTGTACTTCTTCTTGCGGCGGTGCTCGCCCTCCTTGTTGGCGTCGGCAAACTTTAGACCCACCTCGTAGGAGCTTGTCAGGCTGGCCCAGATCCTCCATGGAGGTTCTACGCGGGCTTCTTCAACCATCTTCTTGATGTGCTCCTCCTATCCGCCCAACTCTTCTACTGCACCACCAGTCGCCTTGACTCGCAGTGCTCACGAAGGTTTCAGTCCTGCTTGTCCGTCAGCTCCCAGATGGTGAGAGGTCGGAGGGCTTGCAAAATAGAAGCCACATCCAACTCCTCAGCTGCCTCTAGTAGCTTCTTCTGAAGGTCTTGTGTCATGTCCGAGACATTCTCTTCCTCCCAAGGACCTTCTTTCTCTTCTTCTTCAGCCGGAGCCGCCTCAGCGGGACTTGTCTCAGACTTCCTTAGAAGCTACGTCTTCACCCTCAGCAGAGCCTGTCTTCACTTCCGCTCCGGGCTGCTCTTTGGAGCTGGCTCCTTTGGCTGCGTCGGTCTGTCCTTGGGTGTCACCGGCGCTGGTCGGCTCCTGGCTCTTCGTCACCGCCTTGGCGCGGGTTCCCGGAGCGAACTTCGGAGCCCCCTTTGGAGCTAGCATGGCCTTCTCTTTGGCGACGATGGCGATCATCGCCTTGACCTGCTTCTTCTCCAGGGTCTCGGGGGTCCAACCTCCGGTCCTCAGCCTCTCCAAGCAGGTCCACGTGAGTGGTCTGCGTGGGAGCGTCCGCAGCGAAGGCATTCCGTCCACACTCCGTAGCGGTTGCCGTGACTCCCGGCCTGGTGAACGCCCATGCACGGCCACATCTCCACTCGGGAGCGCGGATCCCGCTGGCCCACGCCTCGGACTTGGGGCCTTTGGGCTTGCGCTTGGCCTTCGCGGCCGACCGCCTGAGCGATCTCTTCCTTCATCTCCGGACTCAGGCTCGAGGAAGATCCCGCGGCGGCCATGCTCGCCACGCCTCTCAGAGGTCTTGTCACGATCTCTACCACGCTCAGCGCTCATCTTGGAAGATGTAGAGCCAGGCCACAAGAACTCCAACTCATCAAGGTTGATCATCAAGTGTTCGGCTGGCTCACACTCTGGACTGACAACGGAACCTGCAATCTGTTCTGCTGACAAACAACATTCGGAAGGGTTCCCCTCATCAAACTCCAACAAGTAGTGGTACATCTGCTTGCTTCCAAACGTCACACTCTTCTTGGTTACAGGAGTTCTTAGGACCCACTTCCAAACCTTCTTCACCGGCTTTGGCTTCTGCGGTTGCTCTTGGAAAACTTTTGTTGAAGCAGTTTCAACAGCTCTACTTCCCTTAGGAAATATGTGCTCAACAAAATCCATCACTAGATGGCCTTTGGCGGTCTTCCTAAGAATGACCTTGTTTCCTCCTACCAAACACCTCCCAGGCGCACAACCCAAGAAGGCATTGAGATAGCTTAACTCCTTCATGCCAAGTAGGACAGGAACACCTTGACTAGGTAGTGCAAAAACTGCCATCTTCACATCATCGACCGCAACGGTAACCCTGTAGAGAGCTTGACCCCAAGCACCAGAGCCGTAACGGAAGTATGGCTCACCGCATCGCTCACTTCAAACTTCACGTTCGGACGTGCTGCCGCAATTGCGGCGCACAACTTCTCTACGGCTTCCTGGCCTCCGGCCGAAGCGGATGCTCCGGTGTCAGACTAAGGACTCAGAAGCGCTGAGCGGATTAGCCCCCTCAGCGGCTGCAAGAACATAGTCGGACTCGTCATGGTCAGCAAGTGGCAGTTGGTATCGCCCTTCTTGTGCTTGCCACCTTTGTGGCCCTTGCCTTTGCCCCAAGACGGCACGTTCCACTTGCCCTTGTTCTTGCCTCCGCCTTTAGCGAAGTGGGCTTCTTCGGAGTAATTGACCTTGCCCTTGGGGTGGCCTCCCTTAGGATGGCCGCCGTGCTTGCCCTTGGCCATGTAGGTGGAGGTAGGCTTGAAGGTTCGTTGTGCCACACCTCCGCCCCAGCCGCGGTCTTTAACCGCGGCGTGCTTCCTGAAGATTGCGGTCGTTCTCCGCCGCCATCATGGCCTCAATCTCCTGTCTTTCCTTTTCTATCTCCTGCTGCTCTTCTTGAAGGTGCGCCAAAGCGGCGTCTGGCTCACTGTCGCCCTCTTCATCCGCATCCTCGGGGACCCATTCACCGTCCTGACTTCCACACAGAGCCCACTGGTCCTCAGACCACCAAGCCCCATCGAAGTCCTGGTAGTAGACGGTGCCGTCGTCATCGTACCATGCTTCTGGGTCCACCCTCCATGTCCAAAGTTGAAAGGTCGGCTCCCCTTGGAGCCACGGTCCTCGTACATGGAGAGGAGGGCCTGCTTGATCTCATGGTACCCCAGCTTGTTGCGGGTGGCTGCCTTGATCGTAGAGGTGCTCATCTCAAGGATCATCCATCCCCGGATCACATCCAAGGTGGCCAGCGGCATGAGGCCTTTCTCCATGCGACGTTGCAGCAAGTCCTTGCCCTTAGGCTTCTTCTTGTCGTCCCCTTTGGCGGACTGGTCTGCACTTGAGCGGCTCCCTCTGGAGCTACTCCTTCGATCCCTTGAGGATCGGGAAAAAGGTCTCCCTTGAGAACTTTCGGGGGTCGGTGTTCGGACTCCACTTTCTTCCTCTTCGGCCTCTTCCTGGTTGTCTTCTTCAGCGTCGGTCCCCTCAACGGGACCAAAGTAGAATGACTTCCCCTTAGGGATGCCACAGAAAGCCTTCAGCTCATCCACGTCCACTTCGTAGTCATCAAAGGTCAGCTCTCGCTCCCTAAGGAGCCTCTGGAGAACTCGCAGCATCTCATTTTGGACACGGTCTTCTCGAACCAAGAACGCTCGTATAGCCTCTTGAGGCTTCTTGTGAAGGCGTCGGTAGTATCCACCGATCTTGTTGCCAGCGTCCGGAAGCGGCTGCCGATTCATCGGACTGGCTTCCAGGAACTTCACCAGCTTCTCGACGCCATCTTCACTGTTGAACTCCTCAGGGTCCAACTTGTACAGCAGCGCAACCAAGGTTGGATGCTCGCTCTGAAGAGCGCGGCGCACGATGCGCGACGCCAGCAGGGCTCGCTCATCCTTCTTGGTGCTGTTCAGCGCCCAGCGAATCTCCGTCACAAAGTGGCTGAAGGTTTCTGGCTTTCCGTCCCAGGTCGGCACCAAGTTCTTGAAGTCGCCGACGTCGCCATTGCGACTGCCTTGCCCCTGCATGGTTCCCTTAGGACACCACTGGGCCCACAAAGGTCCCTGACCGAACCGGCGGAGCTCACTTAGAGCTCCGCTACCAATTCAGCTGCAAAACAAAGAACGCACTAAAGAAACATGGATCACACTCTTTTGGCACCCGCATCTGCCGTTAGCTCAAAGGGCCCCCTGGTTCGAACCGTAGGGGCAACGGTGACACACTAAAGCTGCGCACTCACAGCTCCCTATAGGAGCTGTTTACATACAAAGCTACAGCTGCATTTTGGAAATCCCGCAGAAAATAAACGCACGGACAAACAGCTGCACGACTCATGATGCGAGATTCTGATGTGGGACGGCCTTGGCGTCAACGTCCATCTACCCCTCTCCAATCTCTCACGTTTTTTGTTGCATTACAGAGGCCCCGTCAGCCCTCTGAATCTGAGCCTGAATATGCACAGAGATGCAAAGAGAATCATCAGGCCCACCATCCTCTCAGCATCTCTGTCGTTTACGTCAGCTTTCGTTGAATCGCATGACTCCAGCAGCAGTTGGGCCATTGGAGCATCCTCATCCCTGGTGCCATTTACCATGGGATGATGGGAAATCCAGTCCGCTTCCATTCCGTTCAGGGTGAGGGATCGAAAAAACTTTATAAGCATCAAAAAAACATACGCCCAGCGCTTCAAAACCAAACTTTATAAGCATCAAAAAACTGTTGTACTAAATTTAGTAGGGCCAAGGCAAAAAGGCAAGCATCAAAAAAACTTGTTGTCACTGACGTCTGGGTAATGGTAATTTAGTAGGGCTAGGGCAAAAGGCAAGCATAAAGAAAAAAAAAGTATTTTCATTGACGTCTGGGTAATGGTAGTGGTGGTAGTGTTGGTAATACGTGATATTGTTGGTGGTAGTAGTAGTAGCAGTAGTAGTAGTAGTAGCAGTAGTAGTAATAATAGTAGTCGTAGTAGTAGTAGTATTAGTAATAGTAGCAGTAGTAGTAGTAGCAGTAGTAGTAATAGTAGTCGTGGTAATGGAAATTGTCATAGTAGTAGTAGTAGTCGTCGTCGTCGTCGGCGTCGTCGTCGTCGTTGTCGTCGTCGTTGTCGTGGTAGTAGTAATACTAGTAGTTGTAATAGTAGTAGTAGTAGTAGTAGGTAATAGTAATACTAGTAGTAGTAGTAGTAGTAGTAGCAGCAGTAGTAGTAGTAATAGAAGCAGTAGTAGTAACAATCATTGTAGGAGTAGTGGTGGTTAATGAATAACTACGGGAAAGCATGTAAATTATGCACCGGTTGGAAAGGTGAGCACATGACGAGCAATCATGAAAACAAGCAAACAAGGAAAATTATGAAAACCTATGAAAATCTTGAAAATAATGAAAAGTGAACAAAGTTCATGGAAATGACGATTTATGAAACATGAAAAGTAGTGAGAAATGATGAGAAAACATGGAAATAATGATAAATATTGAAAAATTGCGAAACATGATGAACATGAAAAACCATGAAAAACCATGCAAACAATGGAAAATGTAGTAGATAATGAAAAATGATGAAAAATCATGACAACAATGCAATATGACAAGTATGAAAATGAAAAATAATGACAAATGATGGAAAATGATGAGTGAAGAAACATGGTGAAATGATGAGACAATGATGGGAATAACGATGAAGGATGACATCATAAAACATCATGAGACTCATGAAAAAACGTGAAAAACCATGAAAACTCATGAAACACAATGAACAATAACGAAAAAAAATCTGGGAAAGATGAAAATGGCAAGACATGTGGAAAATAATGAAAATAACGAAGAGATAAAGAGGAAACTGATGAAAAGTAATGTTCAAAAGGGGAACATGATGACACATGCTCGCGTGAATGCGCTTTGTAAAAGAACAGCGGGGGGTTGGGGGGGGACGCAGCCCCCCCCCCCAATTGCAAAACCTGGACAAAGATTAGGATACAGTATGTGCCTTCTTCCGCCATGTTAATTTGGCAATGTGATGTGATGTCTGATGAGAAGAGGATGAACATGATCAACTGAGATGGGAATGATGAAAATGAATGAAATATGAAACTCAATGAAGCATGATCAACAATAATGAAAGATCATGAAAATTGATTCAAGATTCTGAGAAGCGACGAAACATGACGGAAAATGATGAAAAGGCATGGAAATCCTGAACAAATAGTGACGCAACGTGAAAATAGTGAATAATCATCACAATGATCACATGAAAGATGATAACAACTTTATGAAAACCGTGACAACTAATGACATCTCATGCACAACCATGAAAAGCAATGAACAAGTAACGAACAATCATGAACATGAAGGAACAACCCTGCAAAATGATGACAAACATTGGACAATTGAAAGAAAATCATGGAATGTCATGAAAATGAACATGATGAAAAAAGGTCGAGATTTATGAAAATTGATGAAAATTGATGAAACATGATGAGCAATCCTTCCTTCCTTGCTTCATTCCTTCCCGCCTTCCTTCCTGCCTTCCTCCTTCCTGCCTGCCTGCCTTCCTATCTTCCTTCCTTCCTTCCTTCTCTCGTTCCTGCCAGGGTACGGGGTCGAAGCCCAGGCATCAAAAAAAAAACAATTCCGGATTGGTGTGCTCCCCAGGAGGAAATAAGCAATAAGTTTTTTGATGCTTAAACAATTTTTTGATGCTTATAAAGTTTTGTTTAACCCCTATCCCCTGTTCAAGGGCTAAGCCCAGCAAGGGCATGTTTCTGTGGCTCCTCCATTGTTTCCTTATCGCCGCGTGCCCTTTGTTGAGCATCGCGTGTAGAGTAGTTCAATTGCCGGCAAAAGTGAGATATACAGCTCAGGTTGGAAAAAGAATGCAGATGCAAGAAGAAGATGTGAATTTGACACGGTCTGAAGCATGCTGCGATTTTGATTCCCATGCCTCCAAACGCCAACCATCCTGCATGGCCTTCATCTCAGCCATCCCTGCCCTGGGCAATTCAACCCGATGGCATATGCTGTGTATGAAAGATGCCTCCTTAATTCTCAAGTTACGTGGAGAGAAACAGTACAGTACAGTACAGTACAGGCTGCTTCGTTTGGTAGCCTTGTTCCAAAGACAAAAATCCCGCTCAATCATGCCTAGCAGAAATCCAACTTCATGTCTACAGAAGCTAGTTGTCTGCAGCAGTGCTTTTGAAGCGGCAAGAACATTGCCTCGGCAGCCCCAACAGTATGCTCGTTGTCGGTAAGCCGGTAAGCTTGTTGGCTGCATGTGGCCACTGCGCTGAGGAGCACGTTGTCAGTAGGGCTCACGCTTTTGAAGCTACGAGTGGGGACCGAAACACATTTGGCATCACAGCGTTGCACTCGAGTCGAATGGAGCTCGAATCAAAAGGTGCGCTACATGAACTCAAAACCTGCTGAGCTGCCAGCGACAGTGTTGGAGTTGCGGTGCCTTCGCTTCTTCACAGCATACTCTTTAAAATGGACAAGGCTGAGCCCAGCATGGCATGGACGAATCTTGGGCTCCTCCCGCAAGGCTGAAGCAGCGAGCGTTTTCCGTTTGAAAGTGCATCAGATTTAGTTCTCAACTGGGTCCTGTCAAATTTGGTGAAATTGCATTCTTTGATGACTGATGAACACTGCACACTCAAGAGCGCCTTTGTTAGCGTTCCTGGACATGGATCCTGCTGGTCTATGCTGTCGTGACCAAAACAACGTCCTTCAAGTCCCAGCGCCCGCCCATCAAGTCTCTACGCCGCTCAGCTTCTCGGATCAACTCAACAACCCCTTGCCTTGCGCGCTTTTCCTTGCGCTTATCATTTCTGGCCAGCCTTTCAGCTCGCTCCTCCTCAAGCGCTGACCTCAACTTGTCCACGCTAAATTGCACACGAAGGCCCTGTCCTCGTCGGGAGAACACTGGGTCATCCAAGCGAATCTTGAGCTGTGGCCATGCACGAGTTGCTTCCAGCCACACATCCCAGGGACAATCGCCATTTGGCGCCTGGCGAAGCAGCTGCAGCATTGTGCGAATGTGGACATCTTGGTATTCTTCATAATCCGCATCCTCGCTAGCATTTGACTCCGTCTCTGCGGCATCTGTCTCTGCCTCGCTATCGTTTGGACCAACCAGCTGCTGCAGAGTTCTAGATGCGCCGGAGATTTGAGAAGTGTTGTCAGACTTCATCTTGTACCTGACCGGTTCCGGTGGTGAGCGCATTTGTCTGATTTGATCTTGCTCAGCTCCAAAGCTGTTTCTAACCAAACGTTTGCTGGAGTCCTTCAAGGCTCGGCGCTTTGCCTGGTATGCCTTCTCAGACTCACCATCTGATGGTACAGTGTCGTGACCCTCATCAAGGCCATTTCTGGCCGGCTTGGTGGACAAAGCCTCTTCCAGTACAGCTGGCTGCAGGAAGCAAGCATCAACTTCGGGCCGCGAAAGATCAGCCAGAATCTCGTTCAGATCTGCTGTACCAAAAAGGAACACAGCCGTATCCTCCATACTATCCGAGAGATCTGATTCACTATCAGAGATGTCTCTATCATCTGGGCTACCGCCGTGACCCTCAGCCTGTCCTTCATCCTCGTCACAACTGTGACTCTTGCCACTGGCGGACATTTCTGGCGCGATTGATTCTGGATGCTCAGTGGGCATCTCATCTTCATCGTCAGCCTGATCTAGATATGAGGACGGCAGTTTCGCCTGCACATCATCATAGATTGCTTTGATCTGGTCTCTCACATCTTCTGAAAAGAAGGATAAGTGGGGCATCTCATCGGGGAGGTAACTTCTGCCGTTCCCTGTGCTCACTCGCTGCTCAGTGGCTGAGGCTGGGCCTGCACTCGAGGAACTTCCGCTACCCTCAGCGGTGCAGGGGGTGGTGGTCAAGAAGTTCCAGCGTTGGCGCAAGGCTTCAGGCGAGTAAAACTCGTAGGCGCGCTCTACTAGCTCCTGGTCCAGGCCCTGGGCTATCTCCAGGAAGTCTTCAGAAATTGCCTGGCAAACGGAGGTGGTCATGAAAGAGAAAAGACTGACGCAAGCTGACGGGGGCTACCTTTAGCAACTTGTTGGACTTGGAGGTTTTGATGAGTTTGGACCCCATCCACCTCGAAGTCGCCTTCACGCTCCCTCACACCGTAGGCGAGGAATTCGTCTAGTTCTTCGGGAAAGTCTGGTCCGGAGTACACAAGCTCCTCCAAACCTTCGGCTTCCACAGCCATGCTCCAAACTACAAGACAGTTTGCAAACCTTGTCGCTGTATTGGGCTGAGGCTCTTTTTGGGCAGTGAGGGTGTGGGATCCGACAGAGTGATTACACACTGTTTACCGTGTACCGCATGTTGGTGTAGGGCCGGAGCTGGCATCGAAGAAGCTTGAGCATGGGTTGGCAGATGCATTTCGGTGAAGCATTCATCCAGAGCAGGGCGCTCGAACATTTCCGCATGGCAAACAGCTGTCACTGCATCTTGCATAGCCTCTCAAGGTTGCTCCCAACCGCGGAGGAGGGCGCTTCTGCGAAGCCTAGGATCACGTACAGGCAGTTCAGCTCGTGATATATGGATTCCGTTGCCCTTGCCTCTATGGGGGGCATCGCTGGCCCCTTGCTCTGCTGGGCTTGGTCCAATACCTAAGCCAAGATGGCAAGAATGGCAAAAGAAGGCTCAGCGCAACATATGTTTCGGGCGGCTGGCAGAAGCTTTCAAGAGCTTCTGACCAGAGGCTGTGGACAGGGATTCCTCAGGGCATCCACAACCCTTCTTTGAGCTGCCATTTGCCATGCAAAGACACTACGTCAGTGAAGGCGCCACTGCGGGATGTCGGCATGACTTCCTCAGCAATATGCTTCCAAACGGACAGCTTCGTAATTCCAATGAGGGTCCGCAAGGACACATGCTGTTAGCAACTTTGCTAATCATAAAGAATGGGCGTAGGGTGCTGTGAAAAATACATTGACATACAATGTTGAGATCTATCCCATCAATTCGGTTGTGCAAGCGGGGTCTGGTGTAGTCTGCAATTTCTGGAGATTTGCACGGAGCCGTTCAAGCTACCATGAAACAAACAAGCCTCGTGCAGGCGCACGGCGGCTCTTGTCAGGCTTGGGGTGCGACTACTCAGAACAGAAACATGGGATGTCTATGATATGAACATGGACCAAAAATGCCAGTGACAGAACCGAGCCGGCGAAGGAAGGACACCAGAATGAGTCGAGGTTGTTTATCCTATAAGACACCCAGCTTGCAAGAGTTAACGAGGCTGGACGGTACGATTCTTGCTGTGTAGATGCGGTCCTTTTAGGGTTCATGGCTCGCGGGCCTGTGAGCCCGTGGACTGAGGAAGCTGCATCGAGCTTTCGCATGGAGCGTCATTGCATTCTTGTCGGTCTCGGTACATGGAAAAGATAATACGAGTAACAAGATCAGCCTCTGTGATTAGCTCGATGTCCTTCTGTGAGATCAGCTGCTCCATCTTCATTGCGAGATGCAGTTGCTAAATTTGTAGCCTGTGAAGGCAGAGCAGCAGCTGCTGGAGCAACTGGCACCTCCACACTTCCTCCTGGAGGTTTGCGCCACTGGTCCAGCCCTAGCCTCATTGGCTGAAATTCAAAAAGTGTGAGTCTCCCGTTGGCATCCGCGGCCATTAAAGCGGAACCCAAATGAAATTCAACTGAACTAGGACAAAAGCAGCAATCCAGGCAGTGATTATGTTCTGAGAGGCGGCCATCTGTGCTAAAAAATTGCTTCTCAAACGGCGGGAGTCATGGCCACAACTATCTGTTGCGATTGGCAGCCTGTCATCTGAGCATGTGGTCCTTGTGCAGTCGTTGGGAGGTAGTCAGGCATAACTGGCTGTTCAAGATGATTGAAGACTGAGTGAAAGCCGGTGAAGAATGGGAGCAGCGAATTCATTTGCGCGCCTCAGTCAAGCTAGCTCTCCAGAATGGTAGTATCATTCACAATTCCTGCTGCTTCCACAGCCGCAGTACTTCTTTCCCGAGATTCGAGCCAGGCCAACAGATACTGAACGGTGGCAGTTTTTGCTCGATCAGCACATGTCTTTGTTGCTCTGTGCCGCTACCACCAGCCGAGTCTCTGATGACCGCAGGTGACAAACGTGAATGCATTGCCAGAAAACCATTCACCAGAGTCGTCCTATGGCAGTGACCAAAAGCCATTACCTCACCTCCAGATTTGAAATAAGTTGGTGTCCTCGCCAGAATACACGGTGGCCATGGCAAATGGATTTTCGCCTGAGTTCAACCATGTGCATGGCGAGCCTGATTGTGTCAACTTCTTGAGAGCCTGGCAAGGTGCAAGCACGAAGTTGGATCCGACAAGGGCTCGGTGCACCGCAACCTCCACAAGTGTTACAACAATGGTTTGCCGTTTAGCAAGACGACCACGAGTCGGTTTTGAACACCTCTCCGCGCAGATCGGCGTAGTCATTAGCGCAGTAGAAGGCGCACAAGTAGTGCCTAACAGTATTGCAACGATTGGAGCACCAGTCATTTGAAATGTCAGAGATCACCAGTAGCCAACAGTAGGCAGCAGGCGAGTCGGCTAAAAACAGCAAGTCCTTGTGAGCGGTACTCTGATCGGAGGACAAGCCAGACTTCTCGGCACCTGCTCTGCAAGCTTAGGACCAGTCCGGCAGCCAGCTCCACAGCAGATCGTCACGTCCAGAAGCCACGAAGTTCCCATAACCACCATTGAAAACCTCGTGCGAAACGATTCCCAAGGGTGAACAACGTCTTACTATTTTCAAATTTGCGCCGAAGACATGCTGCAACATGCGCATTAATCTACTGCGTCGGACCCTGCCACTCACGTTTCAAGTGAGCTGCAGTACAAATAGTGTTCCTCAGCGAAAATGTCAAAGCTGCTGAACAGGGACAACCAGGCACGATAGCAAGCTCCCCCGCTATCTACAAGTACATTCAGCAAGAACAAGTGAATACCAGTCAGCAAACACTTACTTGCGGTCAGAGCGACTCCGGGCTCAGATCAGGCCGCTGAGCAAAGAATCGCTTTGCGCACGGTGCCCTCATTGCGACAGGGAAATGAGTGAATATGCTCCGAAGCCTTTCCTCCTGCAGTTGTTGCCAAGAACCGCCTTCATGCATTCTCATGGAGGCGTGCTGCGTGCCATGCTATTATAGAATCCAACATCCAAGATCCTTGCTGCAGCTGATGCACTTCCTTGGGCTGACGCTCGCTACGAATTTCCACGCATGCTTCAAATCACAGTGCGTCTGCAAGCCTTGTTGTACTGGTTCGGATCTGTCATATCATATCATGGGGGAAGCCATCTAAGCTCAAGAAGCTGGATGAAATGGGGAAAAGTGGGATCGATTGAAATTTCAGGCTTGGGCTGGGAACAAAATAGACGAGCTGCAGAAAGGTCCTTTGAATGAGGCGAGATCTCCTCAGAGCACACAAGGCGAAGTTGCTTCTGGGGGGGACCAACACCTGTAGGACCCTACCATGTGTGGGCTTCCTCTATAGCGTCAAGTTTCTGGGTTCAGAATCGGGGTATTGCGTGGGATACCCCCTTTCAGGTCAAGCATGCCAAGCTTTCTGTGCTGTGTGTATTTTAGGCTTCCAAGTAATTAAGAAAAACATTTCAAAGGATTAAGCTCTTCTACATTACTCTCACAGGGCAGAAGTCCCAGTGAGGCTGCCTCTTGTCAGTGACAGAAGGCCATCAGCTTGACCGGGCCTGAAGAGCTCGTTTTCAAAAATGGGCTCCAAAGGCAAAAAGCCATTTGATGCCAAGTATGTGGCTGACGTAGGCCTTTCTGTGAAAACTGGACTGGCCTGCTTGAGTAATAATAGCCGCTTAATATCCCAGAGATTTAAGGGCTGCCGTCCTATGAAGAGGATCGAGGCCTCAAGCATGAAGGACTCTTAATCGCGTGGCTAGTTGATACCTCTTATTTAGCTTGCTTAAGCCAACAATTTGATCGAGATCAACGGGGCCCAAGCTTGCGGAGGGAGAACGGGCGCTTATTCTCACGCAAATGTGAACACTATACCAAAGGTGACAATACTCATTACTCATACTCGTAATGATGCTCACACGATCTCGCACGCATGCAACCAGTACTGCTGCCACCCATTCTGCTGCTAATTGCTGCTGATACTGCTGCTGCGACTGCTACTACTACACAGTTTTAATAGGTTACCTCGGCATTCTGTGGGTGCTAAGGAAAGTTATGCTTAGGGGAATGTCTGTGAACGCTTTCCCAGACTAGCCAGATTCACTGCTTTTTGTAGAACGTTGCGGTTTTGCAATTGAATTGTTGGGGCTGACTGGTATTCCAGGCGGTGTTCCAATCGTAAAGCAAGACCGTGAAAGTCCCCAGCCCTTGCGTGACGGTCTTGAGTATAGCCTGGAACATTGGTCAATCCTATCAACTTAAAGTATTGTAATTGTAGATAGCAATTAGTTGGGCTTCTTGGGACAAAGTGAAAATTCAACAGAACGTGATTACGACCCCTTCCAGAAACAACACGAAACATGCAGGAGACCTGAGTAACCACGAGGTATCACTACCACCATTACCACCACGACTACTATTACATCTATTACTTGTACGAGTAACACTACTACGGCTTCTACGACGACGACGACGACTGCTTCTACTCTAGCACCAGCACCAGCACCACCACAAGGACGACGACGACGACTACTACTACTCCTAGGCGTCCCGATGCTAATTGATCGCAATGTTTTTGGGCTTGCGCAATTTTGCGAAAAGTTGCAAAAGTACTGTATTGCGTTTTGCAGTACTTCGTGGGCATTGGCTTGTTGATGTTGTGCAAAGTTGAGGGTCAAAAAATCCGGGAAACTACTTGTGGGTTGATTTATCAGGATGATAATTCATCGGTCTTTTGTGGCCTTGAAAATTGGAGTAGAATCTGTCAAAAGGTTTGGAAGTGTTGTAAATTACAGGACTTCGTGCGCTTATGCAATGTCCGGACTGCTCGTGTGAAGCATTAAGTGGTTCATGGAAAAGCGTAAAAACTAGTAACCAGTTTTGGCCGTTTTTACGCGCCGCTGTCCCTGATGAGAACCGCATCCGCATCAGAAGAGAGCCGGACTTTTTTGCTATCATCTGCGTCTGTTTCGCTGGAGTGACAACCTAAGTGGCTGTGGTACTTCTCCCTGATGACCACAGGCAAGGTTTGAAAAGGGACATGTCGAAGAGCTCCCTGCAC